ATTGCTACAAAGAAAATAAAATACCTGGGAATACAACTAACAAGGAACATAAAGGACCTCTTCAAGGAGAACTACAAACTATTGCTCAATTAAATAAGAGAGGACACAAACGGATGGAGAAATATTCCATGTTCATAGTTAGGAAGAATCAATATTGTGAAAATGGCCATGCTGCCCAAAGCAATTTGCAGATTCATCGCTATCCCCATCAAGCTACCAATGACCTTCTTCACAGAACTGGAAAAAAACACCTTAAACTTCATATGGAACCAAAGTCAATTCTAAGCAAAAAGAACAAAGCGGGAGGCACCAGGTACTGGACTTCAAACTATACTACAAGGCTACAGTAATCAAAACAGCATGGTACTGGTACCAAAATAGAGATATAGATGAATGGAACAGAACAGAGGCCTCAGAGGCAACACAACATATCTACAACCCTCCGATCTTTAACAAACCTGACAAAAACAAGCAATGGGGAAAGGACTCCCTGTTTAATAAATGGTGTTGGGAAAACTGGCTAGCCATGTGCAGATAGCAGAAACTGGACCCCTTCCTGACACCTTACACTAAAATTAACTTTAACTCCAGATGGATTAAAGACTTAAACATAAGACCCAACACCAAAAAAACACTAGAAGAAAATCTAGGCAAAACCATTCAGGACATAGGTGTAGGCAAGGACTTCATGACCAAAACACCAAAAGCACTGGCAACAAAAGCCCAAATAGACAAATGTGACCTAATCAAACTCCACAGCTTCTGCACAGCAAAAGAAGCTGTAATTAGAGTGAATCAGCAACCAACAGAATGGGAAGAAATTTTTGTAATCTACCCATATGACAAAGGGCTGATATCCAGAATCTACCAACTAAAACAGATTTATAAGAAAAACAAACAAACAAGCCCATTCCAAAGTGGGCGAAGGATATGAACAGACACTTTACAAAAGAAGACATACATGAGGCTAACAAACATATGAAAAAATGCTCATCATCACTGGTCATCAGAGAAATGCAAATCAAAACCACATTGAGGTACCATCTCACGCCAGTTAGAATAGCAATCATTAAAAAATCTGGAGACAACAGATGCTGGAGAGATTGTGGAGAAATAGGAACACTTTCACACTGTTGGTGGGAGTGTAAATTAGTTCAACCATTGTGGAAGACAGTGTGGCAATTCTTCAAAGACCTAGAAATAGAAATTCCATTTAACCCAGCAATCCCATTACTGGGTATATATTCAAAGGATTATAAATCGTTCTACTATAAGGACACATGCACACAAATGTTTATTGCAGCACTGTTTACAATAGCAAAGACCTGGGACCAACCCAAATGCCCATTGATAACAGACTGAACAGGGAAAATGTGGCACATATACACCATGGAATATTATGCAGCCATCAAAAACGATGAGTTCATGTGCTTTGTAGGGACATTGATGAACCTGAAAACCATCATTCTCAGCAAACTGACACAAGAACAGAAAATCAAACACCACATGTTCTCACTCATAGGCGGGTGTTGAACAATAAGAACCCATAGAAACAGGGAGGGGAGCATCACACACTGGGGTCTGTTGGGGGAAATAGGGGAGGGACAGCAGGGGGTGGGGAGTCGGGGAGAGATAGCATGGGGAGAAATGCCAGACACAGGTGAAGGGGAGGAAGGCAGCAAATCATGCTGCCATGTGTGTGCCTATGCAACTATCTTGTATGTTCTTCACATGTACCCCAAAACCTAAAATGCAATTAAAAAAGAAAAGAAATTTGAGGCTGGGTGTGGTGGCTTACACCTGTAATCCCAGCTCTTTGGGAGGCAAGGCGGGCAGATCACGAGGTCAGGAGTTTGAGACCAACATGGCCAATATTGTCAAACCCTGTCTCTACTAAAAATACAAAAATTAGCCGGGCGTGGTGGTATGCATCTGTAGTCCCAGCTACTCAGGAGACTGAGGCAGAATTGCTGGAACCCTGGAGGTGGAGGTTTTAGTGAGCTGAGATGGCGCCACCACACTCCAGCCTGGGGGACACAGCAAGACTCCGTCTCAAAAAAACAACAAAAACAAAAGGTTTTGAAAGACACTAGATCAAATCAATGGGTTCAAAGAACAAATCAATGGGTTCAAAGGCCCTTCCCACTCTGATTCTGTGAATCTACTGGAATAGGCAGCACATCAAGGAGCAGTGCATCTTTGAGAAAGCATTAAGGGCTCCACTGTACCAAGAAGTATTTAAGAAATTTGAAGCTGGGTGTGGTGACTCACACCTGTAATCCCAGCTCTTTGGGGGGCAAGGTGGACAGATCACGAGGTCAGGAGTTCGAGACTAACCTGGTCAATATGATGAAACCCTGTCTCTACTAAAAATACAAAAATTAGCCACGTGTGGTGGCATGTGTCTGTTGTCCCAGCTACTTGGGAGGCTGAGGCAGGAGAATTGCTTGAACCCAAGAGGCAGAGGTTGCAGTGAGCCGAGATTGTGCCACTGCACTCCAGCCTGGGTAACAGAGGGAGACTCCATCTCGAAAAAAAAAGAAAGAAAAGAAAAAGGAATTTGAAGATGCAGCCAGGTGCCGTGTCTCATGCCTGTAATCCCAGCACTTTGAGAGGGCGAGGAAGGTGGATCACCTGAGGTCAGGAGTTCACGACCAGCCTGGCCAACATGGTGAAACCCCATCTCTACTAAAAATACAAAAATCAGTCGGGTGTGGGGTCATGCTCCTATAACCCCAGCTACTCGGGAGGCTGAGGCAGTAGAATCGGTTTGAACCGGGCGGTGGAGGTTGCAGTGAGCCAAGATCATGCCACTGCACTCCAGCCCAGGTAACAGACTGAGACTCTATCTCAAAAAAAAAGAAAAAGAAGAAAGAAAAGAAATTTGAAGATGCTTGGCCAGGTGTAATCCCAGACTTGGAAGGCTGAAGTGGAAGGATCCTGTGAGGCTCAGAGTTCTAGACTATAGTGGGGTGAATAGCCACTGTATCCCAGCATGCTCAACATAGCAAGACCCTGTGTCTAAATAAAGAAATAAATAATTTTTTAAATTAAAAAAAAAATTGAAGACGCTATTTGGACCAAAAAATCAGAAGAAGCCGGGCACAGTGACACATACTTGCAACTTTAGGAAGCTGAGGTTCTTGAGGCCAGGAGTTCGAGACGAGCCTGGACAATATAATAAGAACCTGTCTCACCAACAACACAAAAAATTAAAAATTAGCCAAGCATGGTGACACATGCCTGTAGTCCCCGCTACTTGGAAAACTGAGGTGGGAGAATCGCTGGAACCCAGGAGTCTGAGGTTACAGTGAGCTATGATTGTGCCACTGCACTCCAGCCTGGGTGACAGAGAAACTATCTCTAAAATAAATAAATAATCAGAAAAAGGAAATATTAATAGTAAGTTTTCCACCTTTGGCACCAATAATGACTGTATCTTCTGTTCACTGAAATTGCAGTGCATACCCAGTGTTTTGCTACATTATTGCTAATCCTTATTGAAATTCTGCAAAGTAAGTATTATTATGAATTTTGATGACTTGCTCAAGTTTACTCAAGTAATACATAATAGAGCCAGAATTTGAACCCAGGTATCTGATTCCAAAGCCTGAACTTTTCTATTTCGAGAAAACAAAATATGCACAGAGCAGTAACAATGCCAATTAGTACCATCATCAAGCATTCAAAAATTTCTTAATTCCTTGACAGGATTAAACAATTAAAATACTATTATACATACTCCTACTCTTTTCCATAGTATTGCTCTATAGCTCTATAGCTCTATTAATCCAATGTCTGAATGAGACTTCTTGTAAAAAGTTTTCTTCAGGCCAGGCGTGGTGACTCACAGCTGTAATCCCAGCACTTTGAGAGGCTGAGGAGGGTGGATCACTTGAGGTCAGGAGTTCAAGACCAGCCTGGCCAACATGGTGAAATCCCATCTCTAAGAAAAAAAAGAAAAAGAAGAAGAAAAAGTTTTCTTCAGTGTGTAATGGTATTGTGATTGTGCAGGAGAATATTACATTCCTATGGGATGCATGATGAAATATTTAAGGAGAAAATGGCATAATATCTGCAACTTATTTTCAATGGCTCAGCAAATAAATATATCTCTCTATATAAACACACAAAGCAAATATGGAAAAATGTTCTCAACTGCTGAAACATAGGTAATGCATATGTGGTATTCACTGAACTATTGTTAACTTTTCTGTATTCAAAAACATTTTTATAATAAATATTAAGGGCTAGGTAGGGTGGTTCATGCCTGTAATCCCAGCACTCTGGGAGGCCAAGGTGGGCAGACCAGTCTGGACAACATGGCAAAATCCTGTCTCTACAAAAGTTGTAAAAATTAGCCAGGTGTGGCCGGGCGCGGTGGCTCAAGCCTGTAATCCCAGCACTTTGGGAGGCTGAGGTGGGTGGATCACGAGGTCAAGAGATCGAGACCATCCTGGTCAACATGGTGAAACCCCGTCTCTACTAAAAATACAAAAAATTAGCTGGGCATGGTGGCGCATGCCTGTAATCCCAGCTACTCAGGAGGCTGAGGCAGGAGAATTGCCTGAACCCAGGAGGCGGACGTTGCGGTGAGCCAAGATCGCGCCATTGCACTCCAGCCTGGGTAACAAGAGCGAAACTCCGTCTCAAAAAAAAAAAAAAAAATTAGCCAGGTGTGGTGGCATGCCTGTAGTCCCAGCTACTCATGAGCCTGAGGTGGGAGGATCACTTGAGCCCAGAAGGTCAAGACTGCAGTGAGCCATGATTGTGTCACTGCACTCTAGCCTGGGTGACAGAGCGAGACCCTGTCAATGAATAAGTATTTAGGAAAAAATGCCTTTTCACTCCACTTGAAACACACACATACATTTAAACACACACACAAACAAACCAACCAACACCAGAAAAGTGGGAAGCAATGCAAAGTCAAAAAAAGACAGCTGGAGAAAGGCAAGAGCAGAACGAATACCGGAAGTCATGGAAATTGTTTTATTTACCTTAAATGTAAAATTTGCATCAAACATGAGTTCCTTTTCGTGTCCTGTAATTCCTCCATTGTAAATAACTTGGCATCTACTGGTTGGTCCTGTCTTAGAGCATTTGAAGAGGCGAAATGTTGCAGAAACAAAACGACAGTCACCTAAAAACAGAATTTATCCACGGTTCAACTCCAGCACTCCCTCAGCAGACAACGAGCAAACAAGTTATAAAGATGACTTTCTTCTTTGCATCTCATCAGTTATCTTTCTGGGCACTTCAGTCTATTTACTGGATGACTTCAAAGTGCTTTATTAAATATCAAAATTGGGGGGGGGGTTACCATTTTACAGGAGACAAGATAGCTATTTCCAGATGACACAAAGTATCCCTCGAGTATCAGAAGCCACTTACTAATCACCGAATTTCAATCATTCAAGTTGTAGTTATAATAGTCCCTGCCATCTGTCATAGCTTACCGATAACTCTTTCCAGTTCCTTGTTTTGAATTGAAATGAGATTGGCAGTGACCAAACGTGGAGGGCAGAACCCAATTTTTTGAGCAAGGATAGCAAGTTCCTTCCAGTACAAAGCACCACCCAGACACTCGCCTAAGAAACAAAAACAAGCAAACAAGCAAAAAACAAACAAACAAAAGAAACCACCTAAATGATTACCAATGGCGGAATGATCACAGTACGGCATAGCTGTACAATACCATTGTATAATACAAACATAAAAAAAAAATTTTTTTAATTTAGGCCAAAAACACAAAATTAGAAACTACATTCTATGTATGGCATGCCCCAATTTTATTATACACATGCACAGAAATAAACCAAACTACATGAATATTTCCTAAAATGTTAAGGAGGTTATCACTGGGTTATACGATGATAAGTAATATTTTTTAAGAGACAGGGCTTTACTATAATGCCCAGGCTGTACCCAAACTTCTAGACTCAAGCAATCCTCCTGCCTCAGCCTCCCAAATATCTGGGATTACAGGTGTGTGCCACTGTGTCCAACTGAGTAATTTTTTCTCTTTTTTTTTTTTTTTTTTTTGCACTTTCCAACTTATTAACAGTATCTATTTATCATTACACAAGAATAAAGTTAATATTATTTTAAGAATAAGAACTTTTGGCCAGGCACAGTGGCTCACACCTGTAATCCCAGCACTTTGGGAGGCTGAGGCAGGCGGATCACAAGGTCAAGAGATCAAGTCCATCCTGGCCACCATGGTGAAATCCCATCTCTACTAAAAATACAAAAAAATTTAGCTGGGTGTGGTGGTGCATGCCTGTAGTCCCAAATACTCAGGAGGCTGAGGCAGGAGAATTGCTTGAAACCAGAAAATGGAAGTTGCAGTGATCCGGGATCATGCCATTGCACTCCAGCCTGGTGACAGAGTGAGACTGTCTCAAAAAAAAAAAAAAAAAAAACTTTTGATTTCATAGTCAGACTGATAAAAAGCATGCATTTATCTAAACTTCCAGAGACTATTAAAATGATAACAAAGGAATAAACAACACAATAATGATGAGAACATAAAGGGTCTTAGAGGGCATCAGCTCTGGAACAACTGTCCTCATTTCTGCACTAGAGTTTTCAAAGTATTTTCCCCATTCTTTATCCCATTTAATCTTTATAACAGCCCTATAAGGCAGAATATATTATTATTTACATTTTTACAGTTTGGAAAACAATAACTCACAGAGATGAATTAAACTATCTGAAGCCCTATCGCTTTTGAATGGCAGAGGAAGAATGGAGCCTTGGCCTCGTATGAGGCCTAATCCCACGTGGTCTCATATCATACAGCCTCATCCTGGCTATTAGTAAAAGGGAGCTCTGCACAAGCAACCATCTGCCTTAAAACTAATCAAAACAAAATCACCTACCCCATAAAACTCTGTGTGTCCTGATTTCTTCTGGCAGTTCAAGGTTCACATAGACGTCACTGAAATATAACTCCCCACCATACTGAAACAGACCCACATTAGTCCAAATAAGATTAATGATTACATTGATCCCAGATAACAAAGAAAGGAGCAAAGTCAAATCTAAAGATCAGTAGCAATTTTTTTTTTTTTTTTTTTTTGAGACAGAGTTTCGCTCTTGTTACCCAGGCTGGAGTGCAATGGCGCGATCTCGGCTCACCACAACCTCCGCCTCCTGGGTTCAGGCAATTCTCCTGCCTCAGCCTCCTGAGTAGCTGGGATTACAGGCACGCGCCACCATGCCCGGCTAATTTTTTGTGTTTTTTTTTTTTTTTAGTAGAGACGGGGTTTCACCATGTTGACCAGGATGGTCTCGATCTCTTGACCTCGTGATCCACCCGCCTCGGCCTCCCAAAGTGCTGGGATTACAGGCTTGAGCCACCGCGCCCGGCATCAGTAGCAATGTTTAAGCTGACCCTTTGTGAACAAATAACAGCTGCCTCTTCAGTTATAATCAATAGTCAAGTGCCAAGATTTTTTTTCTCCCAGTGGCTTATCCAACAGGTAATGAGATCACATTCTAAGAGTGTCTGCATCCTAAATAAAGATATTCAGGTTACTTAAATTTTTAGCCAATCTGAACCAAAAGCAGCCCCAGGTCACTGGAGAACTAACAGAAGATATCATCAGCATTCATAAACTTTTGTCTCTTAAGAATAATATAACTTTGTCAGGTATGATGGCTCATGCCTCTCATCCCAGTGACTCAGGAGTCTGAAGTGGTAGGATTGCTGGAGGTTAGCAGTGTCAGACTAGCCTTGGTAACAGAGCAAGACCATCTCTCCAATACAGAAATTTTAAAATTAGCTGGGCAGGCCGGGCACGGTAGCTTATGCCTGTAATCCCAGCACTTCGGGAGGCCGAGACTGGCAGATCCCAAGGTCAGGAGTTCGAAAGCAGCCTAACCAACATGATGAAACCCCCTCTCTACTAAAAAAACAAAAAAAAAAAATTAGCTGGGTGAGGTGGCAAGCGCTTGTAATCCCAGCTACTTAGGAGGCTGAGGCAGGAGAATCACTTGAACCTGGGAGGCAGAGGCTGCAGTCAGCCAAGATTGTGCCATTGCGCCCCAGCCTGGGTGACAGGGTGAGACCCTCTCTCAAAAAAAAAAAAAAAAAAAAAAAATTAGCTGGGCATGGTGATATGTGCCTGGAATCCTAGCTACTCAAGAGGATTGTTTGATCCCAGGAGTTGGAGGCTGCAGTGAGCTATCATTGACACTGCACTCCAGCCTGGGTGACAGCAACACCCCATTTCTATTAAAAAATATAAATTTTTGTAATGTTATTTACTTTTATAACAACACGTTTTTTCTTTAAAATATTGTCCTTAAAACGTAAAGCAAATGAGTGATCAGGAACTTAACATTTTATTTGGCTAATTTCAAAAATTTGGAAACCCGGAGATCTAGATTCTACAATAGCGTTTCTACCTTTTTTTTTTTTTTTTTTTTTTTGAGACAGAGTCTCACTCTATCACCAGGCTGGAGTTCAGCGGCACAATCTTGGCTCACTGCAACCTCTGACTCTCTGGTTCAAGTGATTCTCCTGCCTCAGCCTTACAGATGCTTACCATCTCACCTGGCTAATTTTCTTTTTTGTATTTTTAGTAGAGATGGGGTTTCATCATGTTGGCCAGGATGGTCTCGACCTCCTGAGCTCATGATCCATCTGCCTCAGACTCCCAAAGTGCTGAGATTACAGGCCTGAGCCACCAAGCCCGGCCTCTACCTTTTGTAAGTACATTTTTGGTGGAGATAGTGAACACCTGGTCTGTAAAATGGCATACTAACAAAGACATCACTAAATCATTAAATCATTTCTACATAGGTATTTGTATTTGAGTTCTATGATAGCTTTGTAAACCAAATATCTCAAAAACTTTTTTTTTTTTTTTTTTTTTTTTTTGTTTTGAGACGGAGTTTCGCTCTTGTTACCCAGGCTGGAGTGCAATGGCGCGATCTCGGCTCACCGCAACCTCCGCCTCCTGGGTTCAGGCAATTCTCCTGCCTCAGCCTCCTGAGTAGCTGGGATTACAGGCACGCGCCACCATGCCCAGCTAATTTTTTGTATTTTTAGTAGAGACGGGGTTTTACCATGTTGACCAGGATGGTCTCGATCTCTCGACCTCGTGATCCACCCGCCTCGGCCTCCCAAAGTGCTGGGATTACAGGCTTGAGCCACCGCGCCCGGCCTCAAAAACATATTTTTAATTAAAAAAATTTTTTTAGAGATAGGTGTCTCACTATATTGCCCAGGCTGGACACAAACTCCATCCAAGTAGCTAGGAGTACAGGCATGTACCACCCACCCAGCTAGAATCTTTTTTATTTTTATTTTTTTAAAGATGGAATCTCGCTCTGTCTCCCAGCCTGGAGTGCAATGGTGAGATCTCTGCTCACTGCAAACTCTGCCTCCTGGGTTCAAGTGATTCTCCTACCACAGCCTCCTTAGGAGCTGGGATTATAGGTGCACGCCACCACACTCAGCTAATTTTTGTAGTTTTAGTAGGGACGGGTTTTACAATGTTGGCCAGGCTCAAACTCCTGACTTCAGGTGATCCGCCCACCTTGGCCTCCCACAGTGCTGGAATTACAGGCGTGAGCTACTGTGCCCAGGAGAATCTTCCATCTTCTGTCACGAAAATACATATCTCATGATACAAGGAAGGCTGTGGAGCTCCTGCAAGCTTTCCTTTTAGAAAGTAGTTAATGTAGGGCCAGGTGTGGTGGTTCATGTCTGTAATCCCAGCACTTTGAGAGGCGAAGGCGGTGGATCACGAGGTCAGGAGTTTGAGACCAGCCTGACCAACATGGTGAAACCCCATCTCTACTAAAAATACAAAAATTAGCCAGGTAGGGGTGCATGCCTGTAATCCCAGCTACTCAGGAGGCTGAGGCAGAAGAATTGCAGGAGGCAGAGGTTACGGTGAACCAAGATCATGCCACGGCACTCCAGTCTTGGTGACGGAGCAAGACCCTGTCTCAAAAAAAAAGAAAGAAAGAAAGAAAGAAAGTAGTTAATGTAAAAGTTCCATCTTCTGTAACTTCTCAAAAGATCTGAAATCATGACAGATAAGAAATAAGAAGCCCTGAGAAATACTGTACATGCTAGAAGAGAGTTTATTCAAAGCAAACATTAGTAGTTAGTGCAAAGGTTCCTACAGCTCCACAGATGCTATTCGAGGATCATGTAGAGCAGCAAATAGGAAGAGAGACAGTCAAGAAAGCAAATACCTTAACACATGCAGTGACAATTGTCACTTCGGATTTACCACCTCTTGCAACCTGAGAGGGAAAGTAATCCATATCCAGGGTATTCCTGTCTCTTCCCCCTTTTGCCATCCCTTTTTCATTTAATGGATATATTAAGAGAGTTTGAGCTCTCAGTTCACCGGGGAAACAAACAAGACTGAATCCATCAGCTCTCACGGATGTTCAAAGGTAATTGATCTCACTCTCCTCCTCACCTTCAGCACCCGATATGCCTCCTGCAGCACTTGTTGTTTATCAGGCACAAGGTTAATAACACAGTTTGATCTAAAAGAGAACAAATGAAACGTTGAGCAAATCTTCACAATACTCAAAAATCTGCAAGCCCTTTTAGACCCTAAGGGTGGCTCCCACCGTTCTGTTCAAAGCTACTCCATTCTCCCTGCCTCCCTCCTGTCTTCCTAATGCCGTCAACTAAACTTTTCCCCAAGATCACAGACAGAGTGTTTAAAATCTCAATAAATTCTTGGCAAGTCTGAATGTGCAGAAAAAAATATCAGACATGATTCTTATTTGTTTCTGTCCTGATGTTCACCATGTAACAAGATGAAAACTCGGACCAGATGCCTACTGCAGAAGGCATTTCTGATGCCCCATGTAAACTGGCTGTGTTCCTCAAAGGTAGCTTTCTTAAGGCTGTCACTTGGGCACAATTTGACAATAACAACTTGCGGGAAAAAAGGAAACAGAATCCTTATCATTTGCCATGGAAGTATTATGAAAGATAACAGGGCACCATGTATTATAGGAGCAAACTTAGTGGTCCTGCTGGTCTTTTGGGTTCATTACTTTGTGGTTAAGTTTCAAGTAAGTTCTCTCTTGGTCTACTGTGTTTGGTGGGCTCCAGTAGCTCAAACCAGCTCTCTCCCATTAGTAAGCCATGAGCTTAGTCTAACACTCTAAATGAAAGTCGATTCAGCAAACAGTAGTAGTGACATCTGTGTGTTCAAAAGGAAATCAGGGCTGGGTGTGGTGGTTCACACCTGTAATCCCAGCACTTTAGGAGGCCGAAGTTGGTGGATCACCGGAGGTCAGGAGTTTGAGACCATCCTAGCCAACATGGTGAAACCTTATCTCTACTAAAAAAAAAAAAAAAAAGAAGAAGAAAAACAAAAAAGATTTAAAATATTACCTAGGTGTGATATCATGTGCCTGTAATCCCAGCTACTTGGGAGGCTGAGGCACGAGAATCACTTGAACCTGGGAGGCAGAGGTTATAGTGAGCTGAGATTGGGCCACTGCACTCCAGCCTGGGCAATAGAGCAAGAGTCCATCTCAAAACAATTTTTTTTAATTAAAAATTTAAAAATGGGCTATACTCATAACAGTAAGAATATAGACCTACACAACAATATCATAGCTCTCATTCTTGATTCCAGCCTGTCCCAACTTCTCGATGTAGCCATGAATAAAAGACACATTAGATGACTGGAAGCCATATTTTTCCATGTGATAGTCAAGGTACTTTTCAGCCACTTCCACCTAAAGGAAGAAAAATATAGTTTTGATAACATTTTGAAAAAAAAAATACCACTTTTTCCTAAAACTTTTCTTATTAAATACTTTTCCCAGATTATTTTGGATAAATATACAAGATTCCTGTGGACATGTAGGTTATACTATAGCCTGGGACACAAAGTCCCTGCAGCCCGTGCAGTTTTGCTTGAATAAACTCCTCATTCAATAACAAAATCTTTCGGGATAGATGGCAGCAAGAAGGGAAAGATCGGCCGGGCGCAGTGGCTCAAGCCTGTAATCCCAGCACTTTGGGAGGCCGAGGCGGGTGGATCACAAGGTCAAGAGATCGAGACCATCCTGGTCAAAATGGTGAAACCCCGTCTCTACTAAAAAAATACAAAAATTAGCTGGGCATGGTGGCGCACGCCTGTAGTCCCAGCTACTAGGGAGGCCGAGGCAGGAGAATTTCTTGAACCCAGGAGGCGGAGGTTGCGGTGAGCCAAGATCGTGCCATTGCACTACAGCCTGGGTAACAAGAGCGAAACTCCGTCTCAAAAAAAAAAAAGGGAAAGATCAAAGTCCACTCTGTCATCACGATATTCATATCAGAGCAAACCTCCGACTCTTGTGTTTGCCCAGAAGAGCCTCTAATTGTCTAAGTTATCAGCTTCCAAGACAGGAAGCACTAGTGGCACAAATGAGCATTGCTAACTAGAGGCTTTCTTAATTATTCTTGAAGAGCCATGAAGAAAACAACTTCATTTCTCAAAGAATGCTTTTGAGAATCTTTTCCTCCTTGTCTTCCAAGTCATTGCCTTACCTGACCTTTAGTCATGTCTATTCCAGTCACATGTCCTTTTTCACCAACCAGCTGGCTAAGTACATAGCAATCTCTGCCACTTCCACTACCCAGATCCAAAATCCAGCAGTTTTCTAGATGCTCGGGGATCACCAGACCACAGCCATAATACCTGGGAAATGGAAAACACATATTTTTTTCCTGGAGACTAGAAGACATGGAACCACTAAATCTTATACATACTTCCCTTCTTTCTTCCTCCCTCCCTCCCTCCTTTCCTTCCTTCCACTTACACATACTTCTGTTTTGATGTTTAATCTCCACTAAACTGATGTCCATGAAGGCTGGGACTATATCTGCTTTACCACAGTATCATTGAGCATGTGCTAGGCACTAAGACTTCATAAGCCATCTAAAATAATGTGATCAGGCTGGGCGTGGTGGCTCATGCCTGTAATCCCAGCACTTTGGGAGGTCGAGGCAGGCAGATCACTTGAGGCAAGGAGTACAAGACCAGCCTGGCCAATATGGTGAAACACTGTCTCTACTAAAAACACACCAAAAAATCAGCCAGGCATGGTAGCAGGTGCCTGTAATCCCAGCTATTCAGGAGGCTGAGGCAGAAGAATCACTCGAACCTAGGAGGCAAAGGTTGCAGTGAGCTGAGATGGCGCCACTGCGCTCCAGCCTAAGCGACAGAGTGAGACTTCATCTCAAAAAATAAATAAATAAAAAATAAAATAATGTGTTCAATAAATATATTTAGGCATTAACTGAGCTTCTAATTCAGGCCCAGTTATTGAGGAAGAAATGTAAGGTTTCTGTTCTGTAGGGATGGAGTGCAGTGGCTATTCACATCCTGGATCGCACACTCCAGCCTGGAACTTCTGGGCTCGCGTGATCCTCTGCCTCATCGAGAGGACCTGGGACTACAGGCTCACTAGCGCACCCAGATTCATGGGACGTTCTTAGAGCAGTAAGATGATAGGTGCTGAGATTTAGGATTTTTACAATAGACAAGACAAGCTGGATGGGTTGGTGGCTACGGGTTAATTCCCTAGTGACCTGCATCATTATCTTTTGGGCAAACTGCAGTTTGGGGTCTTCCTGGGGACAGCGCGGGGCACTCTACCTTAGGGCTACTTCTTCGTGTACATTTTGCAAGGCTTCCCGGATGTGCTTGGGGACCGGCCTGGCTGTGGTGACACAGGCATTGGTCCGGAGGTCTGCCGATTTCTTCAGCACCTGCCCGTAGTAGGTCTGACCCAGCATCGACAGTGGAGTGAGGAGCAGGGAGGGAGAAGAGCTGTGACTGCAGCGCGAGGGCTCCGTCACCACCTCCACCTCCACTTGGTGGACCTCAGCTCCCTGCAAAGGTCGAAGCCTAGACCCTGCCCTGCCCCGACTCCAGGGGTCCCCGGGGACAGGGCGCGGGCCAGGCCGGACTTCCATCAGCCTAGGCTCCACTTGGGCCAACCCAGGCCCTACAGCTCTCACCTGCACGTCCTTCTGGATCTCAGTGTCCTCGCGGGGGGCAGCCACTGTCGGGAGAGGGAACGGTAGTTGAAAGGAAGAGGGTGCTGAGGGACAGGCATGCGAGACGGGGCCAGCAAGGGCAGGCAGCGGGTCGAGGGGTGCGGGGAGGACCAAGGTCTCAAGAAGCCCCTCCAGAGGCCGGGGGCCCAGGGAAGGGGCTGGGGGCCTGCAGGGGGTCCTGCAGTGGGGCCGGGGCGGGACGTGCACTCACTGTCTCCTCAGCCTGGGACTCCGGAAGGCAGGTTCCTGCAGCCAGCTCGTGCCCAGGCCACGCCCAGGCTGGCAGCTCCCACCCGCCTGGCCCGCTCCAGCACCCCGCTTGATCCCTCCACTGTGATTTTCAGGGATAAATCTCGTACTCTGACTTAAATGAACACTCGCCTATATAATGATCTTCTCCCCTCCCCCTTTTTGGGAATGGAATCACCTTTTCTCTATCTGGTTGTTTTTCTTTTTTCTTTTTTTTTTTTTTTTTTGAAACAGAGTTTCATTCTTCATTCTTGTTGCCCAGGCTGGAGTGCAAAGGCGTGATCTCGGCTCACCGCAACCTCCGCCAGCCGGGTTCAAGCGATTCTCCTGCCTCAGCCTCCCGACTAGCTGGGATTACAGGCTTGCACCACCACGCCCGGTTTTTTGTTTTGTTTTGTTTTGGTATTTTTTGTAGAGACGGGGTTTCGCCATGTTGGTCAGGCTGGGCTCAAATTCCCGACCTCAGGTGATCAACCCGCCTCCACCTCCCAAAGTGCTGCAGGCAGCGAACCACGGTGCCTTGCCTTTAGATCTGTTTTTTTTTTTTTTTTTTTTTTTTTTTTTTTTTGAGACGGAGTTTCGCTCTTGTTACCCAGGCTGGAGTGCAATGGCGCGATCTCGGCTCACCGCAACCTCCGCCTCCCGGGTTCAGGCAATTCTCCTGCCTCAGCCTCCTGAGTAGCTGGGATTACAGGCACGCACCACCATGCCCAGCTAATTTTTTGTATTTTTAGTAGAGACGGGGTTTCACCATGTTGACCAGGATGGTCTCGATCTCTCGACCTCGTTATCCACCCGCCTCGGCCTCCCAAAGAGATCTGTTTTTTAAAGTCAGATTTATTGAGATATAATTCATATTCCGTAACATCCATCTTTCCTTTTTTTTTTTTTTTTTTGAAACGGATTCTCTCTCTGTCGCTAGGCTGGAGTGCAATGCTGCCAGCGATCTCGGCTCACTGCACCCTCCGCCTTCTGGGTATAAGTGATTCTCCTGCCTAGGCCTGCCAATTACAGCCTGAGATTACAGGCACGAGCCACCATGCTTAGCTAATTTTTGTATTTTTAGTAGAGTCGGGGTTGCACCACATTGGCCAGGATGGCCTCAATCTCCTGACCTCATGACCCACCCGCCTCCGCCGCCCAAAGTGCTGGGATTAACAGGCGTGAGCCACTGCACACAGCCCCATCTTTATTCAGTGTGCCTTTCTGTGAATTCTGACAAACGTATACACATCACCATAACAGAAACCAAAATAGCCCTGCCCCCACGTTTCTCCGTGCCTCTTTGTAGTAAATTCCCTCTTCCCACCCTCAGCTCCTGCGCAACCACAGATGTTTTCCCTCCCTATAGTTCTGCCTTTTATAGAAAGTCATGTATGGAACCATTACAGCATGTAGCTCTATTTTGGGTTGTATTTAGGAAAGCAACTTTGCTAAATTCATTTTTACCTACAGTAAATTTTGGTCAATTCACATGTATTTTCTAGGTATTGTCACTTCATCTTCCAGAAATTTTTTTATTTTTAATTTTTTTGAGACGGTCTGTCTCTTGTCACCCAGACTCAAACTGCTGGCTCAAGTAATCCTCTCCCCTCAGCCTTCCAGCTACCTTGGATTACAGGCGTGCACCACCACACTTGGCTAATTTTTGTATCTTTCTGTAGAGACGAGATTTCGCCATACTGCACAGGCTGGTCTCCAACTCCTGGGCTCAAGTGATCCACTGACCTCGGCCTCCCAAACTTTTTGGATTACAGGAATGAACCACCACGCCAGGACTGGAAGTTTGTTTGTTTTTAATATGTAATGCTTCACGAATTTGCATGTCATCCTTGAGCAGGGACCATGCAAATGTTCTCTGTATCATTCCAATTGTAAAATATGTGCTGCCGAAAAGTACTTTTTAATTATTTTTACTTATATGGGTGTATCTTACTTCCTTTTGCGGTTATAAGAAGCATTTCTCTTTTTACTTTACATCTTAAAAAAAAATTAGAAGGCCGGGCGCGGTGGCTCAAGCTTGTAATCCCAGCACTTTGGGAGGCCGAGGCGGGTGGATCACGAGGTCAAGAGATCGAGACCATCCTGGTCAACATGGTGAAACCCCGTCTCTACTAAAAATACAAAAAAAAAAAATTAGCTGGGCATGGTGGCACGTGCCTGTAATCCCAGCTACTCAGGAGGCTGAGGCAGGAGAATTGCCTGAACCCAGGAGGCGGAGGTTGCGGTGAGCCGAAATCGTGCCATTGCACTCCAGCCTGGGTAACAAGATCGAAACTCCGTCTCAAAAAAAAAAAAAAAATTAGAAACAGGGTCTCACTCTGTGGCCCAGGCTTAGCATCCCTGAGCAATCACCTCTGGATCCTTGAACTCTGGCCTCAAGCCATCCTCCTGCCTCAGCCTCCCCAGTAGCTGAGACTACAGGTGGGATCCACCATGCCCAGCTTGTAATAATCATTTCTATTCATTAGGACAGTAAGGAGACAGGGAGATCCAAGTCAAAGGGTATCTAAATGGAAGAAGTGGACTCCTTTATTCATTTTTGAATCTCAACTGCCAATAATACAAAAATCTGGTTGATAGTCAACTAGTATATTTTCATTTTCCCTGATGTCAATTAGTGGTTACAAATTAACAGAAAGGTAGTGCCTTTTATGTTTTTAACAAATTAAACCCAAGAAAACAATCCTTGTTGACATTTTTTTTTTTTTTTTTAAGAGACAGGGTTTCACCACGTTGGTCAGGCTGGTCTGGAACTCCTGATCTCGTGATCCGCCCGCCTTGGCCTCCCAAAGTGCTGGGATTACAGGTGTGAGCCACCACGCCCGGCCTTGTTGAAATATTTTTACAGGTTGGAATATTTCCAACTATTATGCGTATATAAAATTTAGTGTTTTTATAAGTATCAGTTTTTGGGCAATCATAGAATGGTGAAAATGCTCCTAAATATTAGTTTTCAAAATATTCTCTTCATAAAATGAGTTCCTTTAGAAAGGCAGTTACCTTCTAATAGTTAACATGGTATCATCTTAAAAGGGCAGATTAGTGAGAGGTCAAGGAAAGGGCTCTATCATTTTTTTCTTGTGCTTGTTTTGTTATCTTCAATTTATGGTTTACTTACAAGACTCATTTGACAATTCTTTTTCTTTTTTTTTTTTGAGACGGAATTTCACTCTTGTTGCCCAGGCTGGAGTGCAATGGCATGATCTCCGCTCACTGCAACCTCTGGGTTCAAGCAATTCTCCTGCCTCAGCTTCCTGAGTAGCTGGGATTACAGGCATGCACCACAATGCCTGCCTAATTGTTTTTGTATTTTTTGTAGAGATGGCGTTTCACCATGTTGGCCAGGCTGGTCTCGAACTCCTGACCTCAGGTGATCCACCTGCCTCAGCTTCCCAAAGTGGTGGGATTACAGGCATGAGCCACCACGCCTGGCTGACAATCCTTAAATCTACCTAACCACACACAGATAAACTGCAATAAAACAAACCACTGTCAACTTAAAATTGAGTTATTCTCACATTTCCTTCATGGTGTCTGGTGTACCAGCTAATTTTAGAACAGACTGTGACCATCAATCATTCTGATTGGTCAGTGGCTCACCACAAGTTTTGTGGGGTTTTTTTTTTTACCATCCTCCCTGCTGAACGACAGGAATGCTATATATCTGCATACTAGGTAGAACAAATTAGGACTCTCATATCAAGCCGTATTTTAAATATTCGCAAAACCTAATTTTTTTTTGTAAGATAAAAAATTAACATACATAGAAATGTTCTTCCCTATTCTTCAGTGGAGGCCTGTGCACACTGTTACACATTCTATCTTGGAAGCTACTGGTGTGACAATTCCAGGATGGTCCAGAAAGGCAGATTTTGGTTCACTACACAGAACCATCTTTCAAGAAGTAGAGATTTCCAAAAGGATCAGCACCCCTAAGTAAAGGACTCCCCAACTACTGGAAGCAGAAGCCAGATGAATGGCTGGATGACGGCTCAGCTGAGATGCAGAAGCAGAGGTAAATGGATGGCATTCAGTTACTTCCAAGATCCTTTTCTAAGAGCTCTTCAGTATTATGTTAAAGACTAGAAATGACAGGTGGCACCCTTGTTTCTATGCATAAGGAAACTAACAGGTAATAGACAACCAGACTAGTAGCCAAATAGATGTACCATCAAGCTCAGTGACCTTGAGTAAGTCATTTCATCTTATAACACATCCTGGCTGTGTTATTTCATCTTCCTGGCTGTTTTTTCATCTGTAAAAGATGGGGCCAGAATTTAATAACTTTTAAGGCTCCATACAGCTCTAATATTCTGGGGTTATATGACTCTGCTTCATCAAGTATTATGTTGGGTTCTAAAATATACCCTTTAAAAAAATTCTTTATTATTATTTTTTAGTTTCTTTGAAATAGAAAGTGTATTTGAAATGCCTTTTTGGTATATATTATAGTGATAAAAGATTTTATTATTTCTTATTCATATAATGTGTTTTGTAACTATTACATCAACTTTGTAATTCTGGAGTTACATGGGCAATTATTTAAAGTATTTCTCTTTTTAGTTTTCTAAGATTTTATTCAGATTTTTGCATCTATATTCATAAAAAATCAACTATATTATCTTATATGATATTTCTCCCATCATTTTATTTTTTTAAATGAAAATCCTGTTTACGTCATTAAATGAGTTAGTGTCTTATGATCATTTTCTATATTTTGGGAGTATATGTTCTTTGACAGTTTAGAAAAGTCTCACGAAAGCTTTCACAAGCAAATGCTATTTTTACTGGTTATTCTTAATTTGTGGGTTATTTCTCATAACCAATCTGGAATATTTTCCTTTAAGTGTCAGTTTTGTAATTTTATATCTTTATAAGGAGCTGGGCATATATCAATCAAACTTTTAGCAGCAAACTAAGAACTCTTTTTCAAATCTAATTGATTTTAAATATTGCCTATTCAGTTACGAATTTACTAATTTGTACTTTTATGGCGACACTTTACCAATTTAATCTGTAAGAACTACTTAATTTTTTTTTCTAATTTGTGTCATTCATGCTTAGTTTTATTATTTCCATTTTGATTTCTTTCTAAATCTAACTATATATCCCTTTAAAAAAACAAAAATATTTCCACCCTATCCCTAATACAGAGACTTAAAGCATGATTATTTTCTTATACTACTACTTTGGTATTATCACATTCATTTTCTTGCACAGCATTTGAACATTGGTTATTTTAAAAATATTATCTTCCAGCACATCCTCTGCAATGCAGATGTTACTTAGTGAAGTATTTTTTCCATGTTGTTGATCACCGTTTAATTCTATGTATGTTGTTTGCTTCTATTAAAAACAAACCATCAGATTATGTATACATTTCCACCTGTTCTCACACTTCTGGCTACTTTTCTTTCTTGTATTTTGTTATGATGTTCTCTAAAGTTGATTAAATTCAGTACAAATATGTTTTCATTATTTAATGTAAATTTTATCTTATATTTACTATTAAAAGTTTGATTGTGAAAGGTATTAATATTTTATCACATACAGCCAGGCACGGTGGCTCACGCTTGTAATCCCAGCACTTTGGGAGGCAGAGGCAGGTGGATCACGAGGTCAAGAGATCAAGACCATCCTGGTCAACATGGTGAAACCCCGTCTCTAGTAAAAATACAAAAAATTAGCTGGGCATGGTGGTGCGTGCCTGTAATCCCAGCTACTCGGGAGGCTGAGGCAGGAGAATTGCCTGAACCCAGGAGGCGGAGGTTGCGGTGAGCCGAGATCGCGCCATGGCACTCCAGCCTGGGTAACAAGAGCGAAACTCCATCTCAAAAAAAAAAAAAAAATTTATCACATACAATGTAAACAATCACTCTTCTTTAATATTTGTTCCAGCATGAAGAAAACTTAGACCATCCCTTCATTTTAATTTTTTTCCAACTTAAGTACTTCTTTGCTTCTTGTAATGACTGGACTTAGCTTTTTTTACTAAATGAGTGGTCTTTCTTTTCAAAGGTAAATTGAGTCAATCTGTGTTTAACAATACTGTAATTAATACATGTTCATAGAATTAATACATAAATTAATGCCTTTTCAGATCTTTCATATCTAGCTTTTTAACCTTAAGTTAATATCCATATGTATGAGAACTAAATGTAATCTGATATGCTTAGTTAACTTGATGATTGGACAATAACAACATTAACTACTTTGGATTTACTGTTACTTTCTCTTTGTTTTTGCAGTGAAAACAACATTTTCTTATGTCAGATTTCTCTCAGTCCCTCAGTAAATGAAGACCTAACTAGAACAATATACGGTCCCATTTTAAATTCAAACAAAGATATTCAAGTTTGACAACAGATTCATGGTAATGTCATTTTAAAAGATAGATCCAATGAACACAGATAAACATCAAAGTCTTCACCATGGCACAACCCTATGCTGCAATCACTCATAATAATTCAACTACCTTCATATTTGGCAGTAACGTCATACAAGTGAATGTGCTGATGATTAGAAAAATTACAAAATGAAAGCCAAGGTCACTTAATCAAGAATTACAGCAACAAAGAAATCCTAGGAATGCAGGTCAAGGCAAGAGGCGGCAGCTGGCCTGACAATGATACCATTTGCCTAATGTTCATTTAGGAATTTGCTATCACAAATAAAACACATTATCTCCTAGAACAGAAAAGGAAACAATCAGATATTACTTATCACCATTATATGATCATGAAATTAAGATATTTCCTTAACAAGTAAGAGAAAAAAAAATCATTCTCGTGTTTATAATAGAAGCTCTATTTCTGATTTTAAAACATTACTCAATATTTCCTTAAGTAACGCAATGTAGACAATATAGCCTATTTTTTTTTTTTTTTTTTAGTTGAGACGGGGTTTCACCATAATGGTCAGGCTGATCTTGAATTCCTGACCTTGTGATCTGCTAGCCTCGGCCTCCCAAAGTGCTGGGATTAGAGGTGTGAGCAACCATGCCTGGCCTGACAATATAGCTTTTGACATATTAAAAGTTCTATGGGAAAACTCTTTTAATTTTGCTTTAATATCAAACTAAACAAAGCAGCTGAAAAAATTCAGTAAGAGCATAGGTTAGTCCAATTCAAGAAGTGCTTCCAAAATTCAACCACCTGGCTTCGTTTTAGGAGAAACTGCACATCAACACAAAACTTTTCTAACTTAACTTTGGAGAAGAAAATAGAAAACCAAACCCAGAGCACAACAGTTGTGAAGGTATTTACTCCTCGGCATTAGGCAAAGGAGCGCTATAGCACTCTTCCATGTCATTCTATTTCAACAGATGATTCAACTGGTCCTGTAGATCTGATGACTGTTCAACACTAGAAATTAGAATAGAGACAGGGTTTAATTGGAATGAGCAATAAAGACATCTTTGTAAAAACTATTTTTAAAAAAGTTTTTTTCATTACGGACAGGGCCTCGCTATGCTGCATGAGGCAATCTTGAACTCGGGGCTCAAGCGATCCTTCAGCCTCAGCCTTCCAAAGTCCTAGGATTACAGGTATGAGCCAGCCACTCCACCTGTCCTATACAAGCTATCTGTACTTTAATGCATAAATATTGCTGCATGTAAATCAAAATTGATATTGGTCCAGTTGGGTCCCAGAAGTGTCTAAAGTCTGAAGAAAGGTTTGCAGGTTTGCAAAACCAATTAGTAATGTAAACAATATTGCAAGGGACAAATTTAATCCATTTTGAAAAACCAGGCTGTTTAATGGCTTTTGCACATTTACTCTGCTTAATGAATACTACCAATGTAAAAGGTTTTCTATTCCTTAAGGTTGATCTCTATACCCTGTAACTTTTAGAAAGCTTTGAGTTAAGTTACTGCATGCCTTTGAAATATGCTGTATTCTTTAAATCCCAAGTGAGTATCCCAGAGAGCATTTCAATTTGAGGGCATATGTCAACCAGAGTTTTGTATTGATCCTGGACCCAGCAGTCTAATTTCCCCCAGCCTGCTTCGGTTGGTTCCTTACTACTCTACCTTTGGGGTTACTTACTTCTTCTGAATAGCTTCTTGCCTAAATCAGAAAAGGAAAGAGGAAAATAGACATAAGAAAATCTAGTGAACTAGTAGAAGTTTCATTTATGACCAGATACATGCAGTACAGGCAGAAGAAATTTCAGCTTATGTCACATTCCGTATTTCAGTCCATCCTATCCTAAGATTGTGCTATTGAACAGGAATCCCTATCTAAGTGCAGAGCTGCGGAAGATGGAATTCTAAACCTAAACAGATAGTAACACTCTCCCAGTGAGAAATGTGGTCCAACAAACTACATGCATGGCTTAAAATTAGCCTGCATATATGGAATCAAATGGTCACATACCTAACATGTAGATACCCAAAGAATGACTATGGCAAACATTAGCTATTTAAATATCAAAGAGTGAAATTCCTCTTTCTCTCTTTCTTTCTTTCGAGTCAGTCTCGCTCTGTCAGCCAGGCTGGAGGGCAGTGGTGACCAATCTCGGCTCACTGCAACTTCTGTCTCCCGGATTCAAGCAACTCGGCTGCTTCAGCCTTCCCAGTAGCTGAGATTACAGGTGTGTCCCACCATGCCCAGCTAATTTTTGTATTTTTAGTAGAGATGGGGTTTCACCATGTTGGCCAGGCTGGTCTCAAACTCCTGACCTCAGGTGAACCGGCTGCCTTGGCCTCCCAAAGTGCTGGGATTACAGGCATAAGCCACCATGCTCAGCCTCAGTTTTTTTTTTTTTTTTTTTGGAGAAGGAGTTTCACTCCACTCACTGCAACCTCCACCTCCTGAGTTCAAGCAATTCTCATGCCTCAGCCTCCTGAGTAGCAGGGATAGATTACAGGCGCCCGTCACCACACCCAGTTAATTTTTTGTATTTTTAGTAGACATGGGGTTTTGCCATGTTGGCTAGGCTGGTCTTGAACTCCTGACCTCAGGTGATCTGCCCTCCTCGGCCTCCCAAAGTGCTGGAATTACAGGTGTTAGCCACCACATCCAACCCTAACCATATATTTCTAATAGGCACATAAATATAATCTCAAGTACATAAAATGTGAAACAACATGAAATAAGATGAAAAGCAAATTCTAATGGAAAAGGGGGTCTCTTATATTTAAAATTCCCTACATGATTTATACGTAGCAAGTGCCACAGTTACCTACATACTATGTAAGATGCAGGTACGTTACACTTGATTTCCTAGTGGAAAAGCTGACTTCCCAGGAGAGACCTGGGGTACAGTCAGTCATCAAATACTGACTGTCTCACTGGTGCCAAGTACAGTGCTAGCATGGTCCTGGCATGGGCCCTGCCTTTAGGGGGTTTTCGGTCTCTCTGTGAGGAGCCCTCAATTTAACATGGGAAGGTTCATAAAAGGTGGACTCTGCTCCTGAGTCTCATCCCTTATCCCCACTTCTTCTGTAGTCTCAGGCATTTTTGCCATGGAGAAAAGTCATCCTTGGCTACCCCGGCCTTTACTCCCACTCCGGCCTCCATAGGAAAGCGCTAAAGCACAAAGGGCAGGCGTCCCCAAACTTTTTACACAGGGGGCCGGGTCACTGTCCCTCAGACCTTTGGAGGGTCGCCACATACTGTGCTCCTCTCACTGACCACCAATGAAAGAGGTTGCTCCTTCCTGAAGTGCGGCAGGGGGCCGGATAAATGGCCTCAGGGGGCCGCATGCGGCCCCGCAGGCCGTAGTTTGGGGACGCCTGACAAAGGCCATGAAAGCAGACTGGGGATATCGATTTTGCAGTGAATAGTTGCTGGAGGGGGCATACTCACTGGTATTGAAGATGTGTTGTTATGATTGCCATCTTCCTTAAACTCTGCATAAAAGAGAGACAGAGATAGAACATTCCACTTCCCTGTGGCCCTAAAAACTATACACATAAAACCCAAATCATTCTTTTTAAAAAAAAAGTTGTTTCTTACATCTTCTGAGTGCAAGATGGCATCTTCCTGTAGTACCATGTTTCGAGCTGCCTGGCCTAGCAGCTGGAAGACAAAAATAAAATGGTAATAATCAAAATTCCCAAACTTCCTGTAATCTTCTCTCTGCAGCTGTTACACCACAGTCCTCTCTCCTCTCCCACTCTTCCACCCTGTACAACCACAAACACTCAAAATGTAATGGAGAATAATTTTCTATTTGTTCATGTTGAAAATTCATTTCACTGGCACTATGGCAGTTCTGGCATGGACTTGACATCTGTTCCAAAGGCCTGAGAAATCAAGTGCTTCCTAACTGCTGAGCTGTTGGCACAGTGTATTCATTAAGTGCTAAGAGAAGTCTGCGGAAAACTTTGGCTCTACAAGTCCAGTGAGAGAACATGACTCCTGATCTTTAAAGGCAGATCTGAGATTTGGGGTGGTCTGACAGTGATAAAGGAGCAAGAGTTAGAAGGCGGCCGAAAAGGACAGAGGAATATAGCTGTTTAGAAATGGAATACGGGAAGGCCGGGTGCAGTGGTTCACGCCTGTAATCCCAGCACTATGGGAAGACGAGGTGGGCAGATCACTTGAGGTCAGGAGTTCGAGACCAGCCTGGGCAACGTGGTGAAACCCCATCTCTACCAAAAAATATAAGTTAGCCGGGCGTGGTGGCGCATGCTTGTAATCCCAGCTACTTGGGAGGCTGAGGTGGGAGAATTGCTTGAACCCAGGAGGTAAATGTTGCAGTGAGCCAAGATCACACCACTACACTGTAGCTTGGGCGACAGCGTAAGACCCTGTCTTGAAGAAAAAAAAAGAAAAATAATAAGAGAAACAGTCGGGGGTGCAAGGGAAGCCATTACAAGCAGCTCAGGGCTTAAAACAGGGAACTAGCCCATAAAAGATGGCCAGACAGGGCTGGGAAAAAGAGAAAGGAGATGGCCTGGCGTGGTGGCACATGCCTGTAATCCCAGCCCTTTCGGAGGCCAAGGCAGGCGAATCACCTGAGGTCAGTTCAAGATCAGCCTGGCCAATATTGCAAAACCCCTCTAGTAAAAATACAAAAATTAGCCAGGCTTGGTGGCATGCGCCTGTATTCCCAGCTACTTGGGAGGCTAAGGCAGGAAAATCGCTTGAACCTGGGAGGCAGAGGTTGCAGTGAGCTGACATCGTACCACTGCACTTGAGCCTGGCAACAAAGTGATGCTGTCTCAAAAAAATAAAAGAAAAAGAAAAGAAAGGAGAAACATGCAGGCAGAATTTAATGAGGTCACTGAGTTTAATGGGTCCTGAGACCAAGAGAGAAAAGCAGAGCTCAGATTCAGCCGAGCAGCCTACAGTCAAGGCAGAGCTGACTGCATGAGCACTGAGAGGCAAGCAGAAAGAAGCAGAAATTTCTGGCTAATACTGCACCCTGCTCCTGGCGTACCTAAATGCCACCAAGTAAAAGGTGCTACTGTTATGTGTCTCCTACCAGTCCTTCCCTGTTCTCTTGGGTCAGGGAGACTCTGGTGAAAAGGGTGGTGTGACTTCAGAGTAACCAGGATTGCCAGATTCCTTCCCCAACCCAGGGAAACTTTATTTATTTTTAAGTTTTAAAATTAGTAAACCTTTCTGGACTTCTAAAGTCAAAACAATAAAATAGGACTTTCCATCTCTATCCCTTTCTTTCCCTGTTCTCTCCCCCACATGCATAGCTATTTTTTTATTTTCATTTTTTTGAGACAGGGTCTCACTCTGTCACCCAGGCTGGAGTGCAGTGAACTGATCTTGGCTCACTGCAACCTCCACATCCTGGATTCAAGTGATTCTCCTGCCTCAGCCTCCAGGGTAGTTGGGATTATAGGTACACACCACCATGCCCAGCTAATTTTTGTATTTTCAGTAGAGATGAGGTTTCACAGTGTTATCCAGGCTGGTCTCAAACTCCTGACCTCAGGTGATCCACCTGCCTCAGCCTCCCAAAGTGCTGGGATTATAGGCGTGAGCCACCATGCAGGGCCCCATACATAACTATTTTTATTCGTTTTGGGGTTTTCTTTCCAATGTTCCTTTTTTTTTTGAGGCAGAGTTTCGCTCTTGTTACCCAGGCTGGAGTGCAATGGTGCGATCTCGGCTCACCGCAACCTCCGCCTCCTGGGTTCAGGCAATTCTCCTGCCTCAGCCTCCTGAGTAGCTGGAATTACAGGCACGTGCCACCATGCCCAGCTAATGTTTTGTATTTTTAGTAGAGACGGGGTTTCACCATGTTGACAAGGATGATCTCGATCTCTTGACCTCGTGATCCACCCGCCTCGGCCTCCCAAAGTGCTAGGATTACAGGCGTGAGCCACCGCGCCCAGCCTCCAATGTTCCTTTTTAAACAAAGGACACATGTATTTATTTCCCACCATACAACCTTCCTACTTAAAATGTAACATACTACAGCTAGTGCTCGACTTACGACCACAGTCGGGACCGCAGACTGGTCCTAACACGATTTGGTCGTAAGTTGAGTAGGCTATATGTACAGTTGAAATGGTGCATGCGGAGATGGTAGTGCTGCCAGAAGCTGATCTGCACTGTCGTATGCCCAGTTGGGCAACGTTTGCGCTGCCAGACGCGGAGCAGTCGTGGCTAGCGATTGTGGTCGTAAAGTCGAATGGTCGTAAGTTGCATAGGTCGTAAGTTGATCAATACCTGTATGTGTACTTGTTCGCACCTTGCACATACTCTCTCTCTCCCTCTCTCTCTCATTTTATATATATATATATATATATATATATATATATATATATATATTTTTTTTTTTTTTTTTTTTTTTTTTTAGATTTCGTCTCACTGTGTCACCCAGGCTGAAGTGCAGTGGCACCATCACTGCTCACTGAAGCCTCAACCTCCCGGGCTCAGGTGATCCTTCCACCTCAGCCTCCAGAGTAGCTGGGACTACAGGTGCACACCACCATGCCTAGATAATTTTTTGTATTTTTTTATAGAGACGAGGTTTCATATGTTGCCCAAGCTGGTCTTAAACTCCTGGGCTCAAGTGATTTGCCCACCTCAGTTTCCCAAAGTGCTGGGATTACAAGCATGAGCCACAGCGCCCAGCCTACACCTTGCTATTTTCACTGCAATAGATCCCTGAGGGTTATCTCCAGCAATACATATTGAATCTCCTATTCAACTGTTATATCTTATTGAAGCCACTGCTCTTTTACAACTGTAGAGTACCACATTCTATAGGTGACCATAAGATTATTCAATCAGGCCACGTGCGGTGGCTCACGCCTGTAATCCCAGCACTCTGGGAGGCCAAGGCGGGTAGATCACGAGGTCAGGAATTCAAGACCAGCCTGGCCAAGATGGTGAAACCCCGTCTCTACTAAAAATAAAAATAAAATTAGCCAGGCATGGTGGCATGCACCTGTAGTCCCAGCTACTTGGGAGGCTGAGGCAGAAGAATCGCCTAAATCCAGGAGGTAGAGGTTGCAGTGAGCCAAGATCACACCACTGCACTCCAGCCTGGGTGACAGAGTAAGGTTCGGTCTAAAAAAAAAAAAAAAAAAAAAAAAAAAAAAACATTATTCAATCAGTTCTCTGCTGGGGGTGCTGAAGGATTTGGGAGCAGTTCCCAGTCTTTCCCCAAAGTAAGTAGTGATCCAAAAAATTCTCCTATCTTGTATCTTACGTCACAGCTTTTATTGTTACAAATATCCATATCTTTGCATCTTTTTGCCAGCATATGTTTGGGATAGACTCACAGGACTGTGATTGTGATTGTGGGGTTTGAATTTTGCTCCATATTGCCAAATTCCTCTCCTTTATGTACCGCTTTGCATTCCCACCAACAATTATGAAGTGCCTGTTCCTCCTATGGCTACTTTTAAGGGAAAACTTCAAACTCCTATAGATGGGAGATGGTGACTTACAAACCTATGGCAGGAAAAAAAAAAGGGTGGTTCTAACAGAATCTACTTCATTCACTTAGTCATTCAAACAAATATTTATTGAGTGTTTAACATATGCCCATACTCTAGTTAAGTGTGATAAGAGAGCTCACAATCTGGAGGGGGTACAAAGGAGACACAGGCACTTAAATCATCTTACGGTAAGTGCTGATGGCGCAGCACTGGCTGCTCTGGGAGCACAGAGTGGGGCAGGAGTATCTAACCGATTACAGGGGTAGGTGTTCAGGAAGGGTTCCTAAAAGAAGAGACTTCTAATCTGAGACTTAAAAGCTAGGGTTTAGTCAGTTTGCATGAGAAAAAAAAAAAATAGTTAGGGTTTAGAATTCACCTTGTGTGTATAATTTTAGAAGAAAATGGCATGATTCATTTTTCTGTTTTAGAAATGCGGTAAGCAGGTGGACTAGAATGGGGAATGCGGCAGAGAGATTGGTCAGGAGGACACGGCAGGACTCCAAGCAAGCAACAAGGATGGCCTGAAACATAGAAGCAGCAGAGAAAAACAGACACAAACAGGATTTGTGAGACATTTAGAAAACAGTCTCGATGGGAGTTGCGGTTGCCTTGATGCAGGGGCTGTTGTCATGTGAAGCCAAGGCCTTTCCTTGATATATTCATTGGCAATCGGCATCACTTTCCTACATAAGCCAACCAGACACATAATACACCATCTGGGATTTCTAGCTTTGCTTTCTTTAAAATGGAACAACATTGGTCGGGCGCGGTGGCTCATGCCTGTAATCCTAGCACTTTGGGAGGCTGAGGCAGGAGGATCACAAGGTCTGGAGTTCAAGACCAGCTTGGCCAATATGGTGAAATTAGCCAGGTGTGGTGGCAGGTGCCTGTAGTCCCAGCTACTCAGGAGGTTGAGACAGGAGAATTGCCTGAACCTGGGAGGCCAACGTTGCAGTGAGCCGAGATTGTGTCACCGCACTCCAGCCTAGGCAACAGAGTGAGACTCCATTTCAAAAAAAAAGGAAGAACATCTTGAATACATCTGTAAAACAACCTTCATTACGGAATCTTTTTAGAGTTCAAATTTTTCTCCCACGCTTTTACCATTAACTTGTTCATAATTAACTCAAGAACAATTTGTCTTAGCTACTCATCTTCAACAAGTGTTTTCTGACTTTCACCTTCATTTTCATAGCAATGAAATGTTTGTCTTTTTTGGTACTCATATATCATCATTTTTCATATTATTTCATTCAATTATGTAGTTGCAACTGGAAGCATAAGTGCCAGACAGACATTTTAACATTCTTTTCATTCTTTTTTTTCTTTCTTTCTTTAAAAGAGACAGGATATTCCTATGTGGCCCAGGCTGGTCTCAAGCAATCTTGCCTTGGCATCCCGAAGTGTTAAGCTTACAGGCATGAGCCACTGCACTTAGCCCATACACACATTATGTTGAGAAAAAAACACAATGGACCCTCACTAGGCACACAACTCAAATGGAGGAGCAGAAGCACAGACATGCAAGGGCCTAACAGTCATAACCACTCACTGTGCTGTGGAGAAATGGTGTGTTTCTCCTTATAGCCTCTCTCCCCAGAAAGCCCTTCCCTGATCACCTATTTAAGATTAACCCTTCTGACTGGGCACGATGGCTCACATTTGTAATCCCAGCACTTTTCGGGGCCAAGGCATGAGGATCACTTGAGGTCAGGAGTTGGAGACCAGCCTGGCCAAGATGATGAAACCCCATCTCTACTAAACACACAAAACTTAGCTGGGCATGGTGGCAAGCACCTATAATCCCAGCTACTTGGGAGGCTGATACATGAGAATCAGTTGAACTCTGAACCCAGGAGGTGGAGGTTCCAGTGAGCCAGATCACACTACTGCACTCTAGCCTGACGAAACAGAGCTAGAGAGCTCCAAAGAGACTTCTCCTCTATCTCAAAACAAACAAACAAAAAAGATTAACCTTTTCATCACTATTCCCAGTTATTTTTTCTTCATAGGATTTACCACCACCTGATTTTTTTCTATTTGTTTATTGCCTGTCTCTTCACTAAAATATAAATGCCCTAAGTAGAGGGATTTACTTTTGTTTATCCCTTGTACCTAGAAAACAGTTCCTGGCACATACTAGACACCTACTATTTGTTAAATGAATACTGTGGAACGAATGTTTTACACAAGAAAATTCTTAATCAATCAAACAAAATAGCTGTGTGGAGACTGCTCAAGAAGCAATGCTTTATAGGCTAAGAGGAATTGAAAATCAGTAAGCTACTCCAATAACCTTGAGTCTAGTAAAGAGCAAAATCAAAATTACTAAGTAACGGCCGGGTGCGGTGGCTCAAACCTATAATCCCAGCACTTTGGGAGGCCGAGGCGGGTGGACCACAAGGTCAAGAGATCGAGACCATCCTGGTCAACAAGGTGAAACCCCGTCTCTACTAAAAATACAAAAAATTAGCTGGGCATGGTGGCGCATGCCTGTAATCCCAGCTACTCAGGAGGCTGAGGCAGGAGAATTGCCTGAACCCAGGAGGCGGAGGTTGCGGTGAGCCGAGATCGCGCCATTGCACTCCAGCCTGGGTAACAAAAGCAAAAACTCCGTCTCAAAAAAAAAAAAAAAAAAATTACTAAGTACCTATAGAAAAAGATGGTATGGTAGGCGATAAGTGCCACGTAGGAGATCCAATAAAAAGACGACGTCTATACAAATAATGAATAAGAAAAAAGAAAAGACGAAGTCTAGAGAAGTGAGAAATGATATGTCAACCCTGTCCCAGAGAGCTGGATTGATTTCAGCTTAATACAATCCACACCACTTACTGAGCATCCAATCTAAACTTACTCAGAAGCAGCCCAGGTGAAAAGTACATAAGGATGAGGCATGGGAAGCAGCAAGGCAATCAGGGAGGTCATTGGTGGCACAGTGGCTTTTTGGCCTTTTAATCCAGCTAGGACCACATAAGAGGTAGTCTCCAAGCCTAGAACCAGTATGCCTAGGGTTGAATCCTAGTTCTCCCTCCCTGCTAGGTGTGACCACGTTAAATTCCTCTCTGTATCCTCTATGTAAGAAAAGTACTCCCTTTATTAGTCATTCTAAAGACTTCACGAGTTAAACTGCAAAAAAGACAGCAGCGTCAGCACACATAAAATACTAAATAAATGTAATATTTATTATGATGATGAATAGGTTCAATATTTACAGGTGGTTAACTATAAACACTATCTAGCCCCCCCCTCCCCACACACACACATTTTTTTTTTTTTTTTTTTTTTGAGACAGGGTCTTCTTCTCTGTCACCCAAGCTGAGTGCAGTGGCACAATCTTGGCTCACTGCAACCTCCACCTCCTGGGTTCAAGTAATTCTCCTGCCTCAGCCTCCCAAGCAGCTGGGATTACAGGTGCATACCGCCATGCCTGGCTCATGTTCGTATTTTTAGTAGAGACAGTTTCACCATGTTGACCAGGCTGGTCTTGAACACCTGACCTCAAGATATCCACCCACCTCAGCCTCCCAAAGTGCTGGGATTACAGGCATGAGCCATGGCACCTAACTAAAATTTATATATTTATACCATTCCCTCCACAAAGATTCAAGACAATTTATACCCAAACTATGTGTATGTATACATATACACACATATATTTTGAAAAACAGAAACAATTTAAAATCATGAAAAAGAGAAGGAACTATGTCTACAACTAAAACTGACATAGGAACTTCTGTGCAACCAAGGCAAAAAGTGAAACACAATGAGTTGCATAACCCTTACTATTTGGTAAAAGGCAACATAATCTTTCAACATAAACTTTCCTTTGATACTGAATCCTAAAAACAGCATAACATGTGTGACCTCAAACAAAGCATATTTGGGATTATCAGGTTGGTGATTTCAACAATAGTGTTATGATAAATGCAAACACCTTCTTCATACAGTTGTTTCTTGTAACCACTATCAATAAAAGCTAGACAATGCATTGAAGCCAATTCTGTAAAGAGAAGTCTACGGCTCCAAACTAATATAAGTAAAGCTGCTATGAACATTCATATACAATCGAAAGACTTGTGGACATACTAAGCTTGCTACTACAACTATGTAACTTAATAAAATAACATGGGAACTGATGAACTATGAGTTAAAAAACAGAAACAGTTGCTATAAAACTAAGTTGAAAATAGGAAACACTAACAATGAGTACTTGTGTTGAGTTTTGTTTGTTTTTGAGACAGAATCTTGCTCCATCACCCAGGCTAGAGTGCAGTGGCACAATCTCGGCTCACTGCAACCTCCGCCTCCTGGGTTCAAGCGTTTCTCCTGTCTCGGCCTCCCGAGTAGCAGAGACTACAGGCACGCACCACCATGCCCAGCTAATTTTTGTATTTTTAGCAGAGACGATAGCCTAACCAGGGGTTTTGCCACAATGGCCAGGCTGGTCTCAAACTCCTGAACTCATATTATCCACCCACCTCGGTCTCCTAAAGTGCTGGGACTACAGGTGTGAGCCACTATAGAAATGTAAAACGATGCTGTGCTCAGATTGCTTTACAGATATTCAAGATGTCAGAGTTGAAAGAGACCCAAACTGGAAATCTTAGATGATATGTTATGTAGGTAGTTGCTTTATCTAACAAATTGATGAACCTATGTTTTCATTTCTCTTGAGTAAACACCTAGGAGTGGAATGGCTATGTCATTGACCCATTTCCTTTATCTATTCACCTGTCAATGGGCATTGGGGTTGTTTCCAGTTTGGTGCTATCAAAAATAGATATGCTATGAGGATGTGTAAATATTTGTGTGGACATACACTTTCATTTCTCTGGGGTGAATATCCAGGAGTTCAATGGATAGGTCTGTTTTCGGAGAGAGACAGGGTGCACATACACAAAGCTTTCTGGTTAAGAAAAGCCATCAAATAATTCCATTCATGGAACCAGAGGATGGAAGAGAGAAAACAGGGGAAAGGAGAAAGCTAATCATGAAACAGAAAACCAAGAAGTGGCCAGAAAGACAAATCAGGAAAGAATAAATCCATAGACAGGTGATGCACAAATGTGTGAAAGGAATCCCAGATGCTGGGGACAAACCATGCGGAATTGGCTGAAAGGAACCAATCTTCACTGCAGGTAACTCGGCGAAAGAAATGAGGAACCGGTTGGGAACATTAATTAGCTCGTGGGCCGTGCAGCAGCTCTCTCTGTATAGAAGCACAGATTTCCCCGGCATGATTTCTTCCCCCCACCCTCACGCACAATCTCTAACCAAAGAGACTACACACCCCGTAATGGAACACACGCCTCCGCGAACAAGACCTACACTTAGCGAGTACTTCACGGCCTACAACTCCCAGGATGCAACATGACATCCTTCCCACAGCACCGAGAGCCTGCGACTACCCGGACTATCAGGCCGGGAGAGTCCACTCCCAGCTCACCTCAGAGCTCCGGGAGCCCTTCAGCACCTGCTTGGTGAGCGCGATTACGTCAGTACCACAGGTGGTCACCTTCTCTGTGAGAAGCCCCTTCACCGACTGACCGAACCGCGCTTGAGAATCTGGCGTTCCAGTCGCCATCACTGCAACCAGCGAACGCCTCCGCACAGCGATGGCGAGTCGCCCGGGCCAAAATACAAGAAAAGCGGAAGGAAACGAGGAGGTGTCTCTCCTCGTCCGTGGGAAAATTAAGGGACGCATGCGCCTGATGGAGATTGACCTTTGCTCACTAAATTCTTAGGAACTATTCATTGACATCCTGAGGAAAACTGGGTCCAGGCAAACATCTCTGGAGGGGATGGAGAGCAGTTTCACTGATGGTTATGGGAGTCCCAGGCAAGATAGATCACTTAAGCCTGGGAGTTCCAGACCAGCCTGGGCAACATAGTGAGACCCCATCTCTTAAAAAAAAAATTAATACAAAAAATCAGAAGGCTTGGATTACAGTCCCAATGTTACCATTTAGCAGTGTGTGGCTGCAAATTACTCAGCCTCTGTAATTTCATTCCCCATCTGTTAAACAGAAGTAATAATGTTTCCAAGGGGTTATGAGAGTATCATTCCATTCTTTTTTTTTTTTTTTCTTAGACAGAGTCTTGCTCTGTTGCCTAGGCCTTTTTTTTTTTTTTTTCTTTAATTGAAACAGGGGCTGGGCACGGTGGCTCACGCCTGTAGTTCCAGCACTTTGAGAGGCGGAGGCAGAAGGATTGCTTGAGGCTGGGAGTTCAATATTAGCAGCCTGGGTGACATAGCAATAACTTGTCTCATTTTATTTTATTTTTTAAATTATTATTTTTTTTAGACAGCCTTGCTCTGTCTGCAAGGCTGGAGTGCAGTGGCTCCATCTCAGCTCACTGCAACCTCCGCCTTCCAAGTTCAAGTGATTCTCCTGCCTCAGCCTCCCAAGTAGCTGGGACTACAGGTGCCCACCACCAGGCCTGGCTAATTTTTGTATTTTTAGTAGAGACAGGGTTTCACCATGTTGGCCAGGCTGGTCTCGAATTCCTGACCTCAAATGATCCACCGGCCTTGGGCTCCCAAAATGCTGGGATTACAGGTGTGAGCCACTGCACCTGGCCTCATTCCATTCAATTTTAACAAACATTTCATGAAATAAATACCAGACACAGTACTAGGCTGGGGATAGAAAAAGAAATGAGATACAGTTCTTGTCTCCATGGAGCTTCCAGGCTGATGAGGCACACAGGCCTTTAAACAAAGAAGGAAGAACAACCTAATAGAAAAATTGGCAAAAGGCACAAACAAGCAATTAAAAAAAAAAAATCAACTGGCTGATAAATGTGAAAAATGCTCAGCATCACCAGTAATTTTTATTGATAAATAACCTCTTTATTAATACCAAACTGATGGTAACTACCTTGTAAGTGAATTGATATGTAAAATATTTCAAGTAGCTCCATTTCTTTTTTAGTTAACAGAGATGATAATGTTATTACATTGAAAATTTTGTTCAAAATTACCTGTATTCAATATCAACATTACTTCCTCTTCCAAGTGTCTAGATTTGTATGCCTCTACCGAATCTCATTTACTGTTGACTTTTTGTCCTTAATAAACTTTATTGAGTTTATGTGCATGAATTTGTTATAATTTATGTACAATAACTACATTCTTTTTTTTTTTTTTTTTTTGAGACAGAGTCTCACTCTGTCACCCAGGCTGGAGTACAATGGCGCCATCTGGACTCACTGCAACCTCCGCCTCCCGGGTTCAGGTAAGCGATTTCCACTGCCTCAGCTTCCCGAGTAGCTAGGATTACAGGTGCCCGCCATTACGCCCGGCTAATTTTTGTGTTTTTAGTAGAGATGGGTTTTCACCATGTTGGCCAGGCTGGTCATGAACTCAGGTGATACACCCATCTTGGCCTTCCAAAGTGCTGGCATTACAGGCGTGAGCCACCACGCCCAGCCTATACAATAACTACGTTCTTTAAAATGTATAGTTTGATGAGTGTGACAGATGTATACACCTGTGAACCACCACAACTATTAAGATACAGATCAGGCCAGGCGCAGTGGCTCATGCTTGTAATCTCATCACCTTGGGAGGCTGAGGCCAGTGGACCACTTGAGGTCAGGAATTTGAAACCAGCCAGCCTAACACGGAACATGGTGAAACCTCTTCTTTACTGAAAATACAAAACTTAGCCAGGTGTGGTGATGTGCACCTGTAGTCCCAGCTACTTGGGAGGCTGAGGCAGGAGAATCAATTGAACCCAGGAGGCAGAGGTTGCAGTGAGCTGAGATCCCACCACTGCACTCCAGCCTGGAGACAGAGCAAAACAGAACAAGATAGGTACAGTGTCTCATGCCTATAGTCCCAGCACATTGGAAGGCTGGGGCAGAAGGATAGCTTGAGGCCATAGGTGCAGTATCAGCAGCCTGAGCAGCATAGCAACAACTTGTCTGATTTTATTTATTTTATTTTATTTTTTGAGACGGAGTCTTGTTCTGTCATCCACGCTGAAGTGGCATGATCTCAGCTCACTGCAACCTCTGCCTCCCCGGTTCAAATGATTCCTCTGCCTCAGCCTGCTGAGTACCTGGGATTACAGGCATGTGCCAGCACCCTGGCTAATTTTGTATTTTTAGTAGAGATGGGGTTTCCTCCATGTTGGTCAGTCTGGTCACCAATTCCCAACCTCAGGTGATCCACCTTCCTCAGCCTCCCAAAGTGCTGGGATCACAGATGTGAGCCACTGCACCAGACCTTATTTATTTATTTAGAGATGGATCTTCCTCTATCACCAAGGCTGGAGTGCAGTGGTGCAATCTCAGCTCACTGCAACCTCCACCTCCCAGGTTCAAGCAATTCTCCTGCCTCAGCCGCCTAAGTAGCTGGGACTAGAGGCGCCCACCACCATGCCCGGCTAATTTTTTGTTGTTGTATTTTCAGTAGAGACAGGTGTCACCATATTGGCCAGGCTGGTCTTGAACTCCTGACCTTGTGATCCACCCACCTTGGCCTCCCAAAGTGCTAGAATTACAGGCATGAGCCACTGTGCCTGACTATTTATTTTTGAGACAGTCTTGCTCTGTTGGCCAGGCTGGAGTGCAGTGGCGCAATCTTGACTCACTGTAACCTCTGCCTCTGACTACAGGTGTGTGCCACCACACCTGGCTAATTTTGGATTTTTTTCTTCTTCTTTACCATGAAAGACTAGGAATTTCAGGAAGAATAATTTTGGATTTTTAGTAGAGATGGAGTCTCACCATGTTGGACAGTTTGGTTTCAAACACCTGACCTCAAGTGATCCACCCACCTCAGCCTTTGAAAGTGCTGGGATTACAGGTGTGAGCCACTGTGCCCAGCCCTTTGTCTCAATTTAAAAAAAAAAAAACAAAAAACATGCAAAACATTTTTATCACCCTCAGAAGTTTCCAAGTGCCCTTTAAAGTCCGTCTCTCCCTCTATGTCTCACCCCAGGACACGAATGAGCTGCTTTGGGGAACTATGGGTTAATTTGCATTTCTAGAACGGCAAATAAATGGCATCATACAGGATTTTTGGGGGGGATCCTTTTTTGTCTGGCTTCTTTCTTGCTGCGTGATGATTTCACAATTATCTATGTCGTGCGTATGACTAGTCTGTGCATTGCTACTGCTGAGAAACATTCCACTGCATGCATAGTTCTGTGTTTATTCACTCTCTTGTCGTTGCTTGGGTTGTTTCCACTTTTGGGTTTTTGTTGTGTTGTTTTTTTGGTCTTGGTTTTGTTGTTGCTGCTGTTGAGACAGAGTCACTCCTCTGTCATCCAAGCTGGAGTGCATGGCATGATCACAGCTCAATCCCCTGGGCTCCAGCAATCTTCCCGCCTCAGCCTCCGGAAGAGCTGGAACTACCAGCTCATGCCACCATGACTGGCTAATTTTTACAATTTTTTTCTGTAAAGACAGGGTCTCCCTATGTTACCTGGGGTCAAGTGGTCCTCCTGCCTTGGCCTCCCAAAGGGCTGGGATTACAGGCGTGAGCCCGTCACACCTGGCCTCTGCTTTTGGACCATTATGAATAAAACTGCTATGAACATTTGTACACAAGTCTTTATGTGGGTTGTTTTCATTTCTCTTGGGTAAATATCTAGTAGTAGAACAGTTGGATCATATGGTAAGCGTTTCAGTTTTCAAGAAACTGGCAAACTGTTTTCCAAACTGATTTAACGTTTTACAGTTCCAATAACAGTGTAGGCCACTCCAGTTGCTCCAAGTCCACAAACTTAAGGAAAAGATGGAATGTTCTATAGCCATGGTAACAAGTAGCTCCCTGTGGTGGACAGACTTGCCACTGACAGGTAACCTCTGTGACCTCCAGCTCCTGGTGTTCTTGCTCTTGTGTGATCCTTTTCTCTTGCACGTGGTCATGATCTTTGATTTGCTTCCAATCAATAGCATCTACACAGGCAATGGGAAGCACATGAGAACGTTACGTAAGATTACATGATGTTGCATCACCATTCCCCTTATCTTGCTGGAGGCTCTCTCTCTTGCTGGCTGTAAGTGAGTGGCTATGTTGGAGGACTCCATGTGACAAGGAACTGTAAGCACCATCTAGTGACCTACCTCTGGGCCTCCAGCTCACAGCCAGCAAACCAAAAAAAAAAAACAAAAAACAAAAAAACTGTCAATCCAGCAATCAAAAGGAACTGAATCCTGCTGATAACCAGGCACATAGGAAGCAAATTCTTCCCCAGTACAGCCTCCAGATGAACACCAACGCTGGCCCACACCTTGACTGCAGCATGTGGGACGCTAAGTAGATGGCCCAGAGAAGCTGTACTTAGGTTCCTAACCCACCAAGACTGTAAGATAATACATGTGTGTTGTTTTAAGCCACAAAGTTTGTGGTAGTATTCATGGTAACGTGGTAATAGAAAACTAATATATCACCAAAACTCGTTTGAAATCTGTTCAGCTGGGTGCACTGGCTCATACCTGTAATCCCAGCACTTTGGGAAACTGGGGAGAAAGGATCACTTGAGCTCAGGAATTCAAGACCAGCCTGGGCATCATGGTGAAAACCCAACTCTATGAAATATATTCAAAACTTAGCTGAGCATGAAGGTGTGCCTCTGTAGTACCAGCTACTCGGGAGGCTGAGGTGGG